GTAGAACGCGTTCCTAACCCTAAAACATCCTAAAACGCTTTGTGTACGACGCAGGGGATCATGCGTGGGAATTGTAAAAACATACAGGGCAAGATGGGGGCCTGCCTAGCCAACACGAGCCCTAATCTAAACTCCTGAAAAGGGGTGTTATGTAGGGGACTACATGGGTTTAGGGATTAGGGCTTATGGTGTAGGGTCTAAACTTTATAAAGGCAGTTATATAGGAGACTATATGGGGGACTACCATAGGGCTTACAAAGGAGGATATTAGGAGTTCGGACTATAGCCGACATGTTTAGAACAGAAGGAAGAAGGAGGCAGAGCGAGAGGGGACCATAGGAAAGCATAGGGTCTGCACATTGACTTCCATGGAAAGTTTGCTAGTTGAATTCCTTAGGGTCCAAATACGCGACTCATGGGACTTATGAAGTGCTGAGGCGCCAACTGGGCACCCAGAGTACTGAACTAGGTCCCGGTTGAGGGTCTTACTGAAGTACAGTGTTTTGAATGCCCTTGCAAACGCGTCGATCAATCGCTTTTGGTAGGAGTAACTTCGGTAGATGCAAGGAGTTGGGAATCCATGCCCCCAGCTCTACATGTTCGGTGTCAGGGGTTTAGCGCTGAGGGCTTCAAATTCAAGATTGAAGCCAAAGGTTGTTGAACTAAGACTCAGCTGATTCAAGGTTAGAAGTTTCGGCACTGACTTCAAGGATTGCAACCTGTGAAGCTCGTGCTGTGCTTGCTGACACGTATGCTCCAAACAGAGCAGCACCATATAGGTAGATTATGAGCCATCCTGGCTTACACGTCCTTCAGGAATTTTATTGCTCCAAGGCAGCCTAAACCTGGGTAGAGACATTTGACTTGGTACAGTCCTCTTGCCGAGGTAAACTGTAGAAGCTGGCAACGACTAAAGGGTGGGCCTCCAGTTACATAATTATACTTGTATCAGTCCCATATTCTACAGGACTCGTTACCATGCTATCGCAACCTACGTATAGCCCGATTCATGCCTAGAGGGAATATCTTCTTGTATGTTGTCACTTGACAGTCCATCTACCTGAGGGTGACCAAAATGACTGCGCATCATGCGAAACCAAATCTTACTGGTTCTTAGCACGGAATGCTGGAACATAATCTCTGCAATCCCTATATGGTAGTTTCCCATAATAAGGGGACCCCAATATAGACCCCAAAATACTATAATCCTTCTTATGGGGACCCCCAAAAAGGTAGCCCTAATTTTGGGAATTTCCCACATAGCAAATTCCCATATTCCCAATAAAGACCCAGTACGAAACTGTGCGAGGTTTCCACAAAGCTCATGCGCGTGGTCGATCAGCTTTGAGCCTAGTCCCATCAGTGCAACATGTGGTGGCTGGTAGAGGTATTACCCAGAGGGTACCCAATAATTAGGTACCTCGGAATTGGTGATTTTAGTACAGGTTTTGGACAAGTATATGATTTTTAGGTACTTGGACCCTTAGGGTTAGATGAAATCGCCAAAATCATGCATGGGGCTGCTGCAGTCGCACGCCTCCCTTGGTTTCTATCAAGGAGGCTGTGCGCCCTGGACTTGGACACATTCTCAGTAGGAGTTTGGGGCACTTGCAAGTCGAGCGCTCATGACGCCGGTTCAAGCGGAGTGCCTAAAAGGGCCTGAATGGTGACTAGTTTAAGGGGTTATAGGGGTTATAGGGTTTAGGGCTATGTAGGGATGACATGGAGACACATAGGACTTGGGGTTTTGGGATACTACCTGCAAGAATGAAGAATCAAAAGAAAAAGAAACCAGAAACCAGACTGAAGATTTGAATAGTTGCCAAAAGTCTGGTTCTAGGTTCCTTGTATAATTGTGGTCTAGGTGCCTCAAATAGACTCCAATATTTTGATCGGTAGTTGTTTAGGCCCTACAGAAAGAAGACTTCTGGTCAGCGGGACGCCGCTTTAAGCCTTAGGTCCCAAGTTTCACCCGCCTTGGGTAAGGGATGTTAATTCCATTGCTGCGCGACTGACTGCCATGGTCACGAGCCTCTCAGCCACCCACCACCTTCATATATGGGCCTTTTCCACAGGCCTTAAACCCTACACTCTAAAACGCTAAACCCTCAAACCCTAATCAGACTCTGCGAAGGGCCTGAAAGGGCCTTCACGGCCGCGGATTCTCAGTGCCAGGTTTATTGCCCTGAGGGTCTTAGTACTTGATCATCATATGGGTTGTTCTTAAAATTATGGGCCTCTTTTGGTTATAGGTCATATTCCGGCACCTAGTATTTAGGCGCACCAAAATGGGTCCCTAATTTTGTGAACTACCCATATACTTACCGAAAACCTGTACTGCAGCTAGTGATACCCTAATCCCAAGTACCAAATTATTCGGCAGTTGGACCGTCCTCGCGGGTTGAAGTTTAGGGTTTAGGGGTTTAGGGGTTTAGGGGTTTAGGGGTTTAGGGTTGAGGTTTAGGGTTTTAGGGTCCCTAAACCCAAAACCCTCTCTTCCTACATCTTGCCGTGGGGGGATGCCAATGGTCCAGCCTTCTGGCTTCTGCTGTCTACGTCAGGTGTTTGGATTTCCCAGAGAATGTCCAAGTGCCCAATATTTGGGTCCCTTTAAAGGGGATATGTAAGGATATTTAGGAGTTTAGAGGGGTATATAGGGTTTAGGGCTTAGGGTCCAAGTACCGAATAATTTGGTATTTGGGATTTGGGTACTAGTAATTGTAGTAGAGGCTTTGGGTAACTATATGATTGTTAGGTACTTGGACCCTTAGGGTTTTGTTGCGCTACAGGAGGTTTCTCATGGCCGTAAGATTCAGCAAGGTAAGCTGACTTGGTTGTGCCTGAAATCCAAATTACCAAGGACAGTAGCTTGAGGTACTCTAACACGACTGCACAGATGTCTGCGTTCTGTGTAGTAATGTATTCTCTATCATGATTGTCCGACTTTTCTAGTCATGGTCCGTAGCACCCTGGCAAGCACGAACCAACACTTTCTTCAGGTGGATGCGTCAGCGTGATCTGCAGCAAGCGCTGCTTAGGGGTGCATCCATCAACGACACGGCCTTTGCCACTTTGGTGCAGGCTGGTCTTGGGGTTTCGGGTTGGGTGGCCATTTTTTGTTTTGGAATCCTGGGGCAGGCAAGTTTGGGTTTCAGGTTTTCAGCTTTTGCCATCACTGGCATACAGGCTTGTTTGGCTTGTGGGGTTTTGGATTTTGCACTTTGGTGTAGTGCTTCTCCTCATCCCCAAGAAGACTTTCATTTTTGACCGCTGGTGACTTTGTAGGTGCTATGACAATCGACACGGGCACCTCGAATACTTGTTATAGCCCACGGTTGCTCTTTATGCCCCCCTTGCCCCCAAAATGGGCACCAAACGTATACAATCGCTAATATTCCTAAGGAACCTTATATACATGCACCAAGAAGCAAAATGATGCCTCAGCTTCTGTGCTGATAGCTGCTGCTGTCTAACGTTTTTTTCTGGTGATCAGGCACAACAAAGGTCACCTGGTCAGAACCAGTTGTAATTAATTTAGTTTGCAGTCAGGGTCTACACTGCTGTGCCCCTGGCCACAAGCAGGTTTGCAGCTTCTGAACCCAAACCCTCAACTTGTGTAATGCCGTCCCCCCTCAACAATAAAGCTCCTACTTCCCTAGGAGTAAATCTTCCCAATATCTTACAGCATACGAATTGGGATTGTTCCTCACAATAAGAATATTCCTATGATATACAATAGTTGGGGCATCTTTTATCAACCCTAAACCCAACACCTTAAATCATGGGAGGTAAGGGGGGAGGGTTCGTTTGAGGGTGAGTGGATCAATTGGGAGCTCTGCGCTGATGCGATGAGGCAATTCATAGTTTAGGGTACGTGGTGGGGCCCCCTAGTTGGATGCCTGTGTTTCTGAATCTCCATACATGCAACTCATAGAACTTGTAGCTTTTCTCTGCTTCAACCCAACCCTAAGCACGAAACTACTGACATCCATTCGACTCCTCCTGCAGAGGATGCAATACATAGGATCTGGGTCAATTGTTGAGACAGTTTACATTCAATCTAAAGATTCAGTGTTAAGGCAGTAAGAGACGGAAATGATGCGTCAGGAAATTTTCTGCGTAGTACCCTGAATAGGGATCCAGGGCTCTAACCCAGAGGGTCCAAGTACCCAATGCTTAGGTACCTGGGAATTGGGTAGTAGCAATTATAGTACAGGTGTGGAGACTTGGACCCCAAGACCTTAGGCCCCAAAGTAGGATTGCATTTAGACTTCGGGCCCTTTAGGGATACGATGGTCCCCAGTAGTGAAGAAGATTGTCTTCTGCACTGGCTTTTCAGAGTTCCAGATCGACCGTTTACCATAGAACTCGCGTAAAACATCTCTTCCCCCCGCCCCTAGCATCAGATGTCTCCTCACAATATTCGGACGATTCCAAAGAATAATTTGATGTTCCTTGGGCGTGAAGTGCCTGCTAATATCAGGGTGAAGCGATTGAACGACACTCCCCTGGGTTACGTAGCCTTTGCACTTCGCTTACATAGAAGTTGCAGCAGAGGGGCTAAGACTTAGGGAATATCTGGCCTTGCTTTGTATTTCGGATAAGCGGATCTTGGCAGCCTCAGCCCCCAATTTGGGACCTGATTTTGCCCATGTGATAGTTATAGGGTCCTAATTTGGGGTGTTTGGTTACCAAAAGCCTTTGTTACTTATAGTAGTCCTTTTCAGCCCTTACAATCATTGCGTAGTCCCCTGATTTCTTACACCCTAAACTCGAAACCTTGGTCTCGAGTGTTCAACTCTTGTGTCGACACGTCTGGCCGAAGTGACGTATGGTGGACAACGTCCAAGTCTTCAACAATTGCTTGCCATGCAGGAGCACGGGAGCCTGTATTTTCCAGTGGAGGCGCATACTGACTACTGACTGCCGCGATTTTTGGGAACCATCAACTGGCTCCCGAACACTTCCGCAGGACAAATCGCAAAGGCTTTACGTGCTAGCTCACCGCGAAGCCAGGGCAAGCGGCCGCATCAGATGGATGATCCTGACTCCAACGGAGTGCATGACGGCCGACGGCCTAACCCCTAAACAATTTCAAGGATTCCTCATTTTCACGCCTTGGCCGGGCATAACCCTCTTGACCCAAGAGGGGTTGCCGGAAATCAGGGGTCCTTTTCTGGGACCTCTATAATACTTAGAGGCAGAAGGACTTTGTAAGTAGTTAACGCATGGGGTTAATTGTAAGCAGACTATCAGAGGCAACTTTACCCCCCCCCCCCAGACCATGGTTGCCCCCCCCGAGTGCCAA